GCATGGCGTCCACAAACTCCCAAAGAGTGTACAGCAGCTGGCCAATCCTTCGGCACAGACGAAAATTATTCGCAGTATCGAGGCGTGAGAGCTTGAGAAAGCTTGATCCGAAGTGCTGGAGATTCAGATGAGCTTCTACGCTTCTGCAACGAGGAACCGACGTTGTAAGACTGCTCGAACCTAACCCATGAGTTGACATCTCAGTTTTGGCTTTTCGGGCTATGGGAAACCCAAGGAATGCAACCACGATGCACCATATGGCAGAACAAATTGAAAAGATCACGCCTCAAAGCCACCAAGGACACATTAAACCTGAGACAGCTGGGATCGGCACTCAGCCAATCTTACGGCGAAGACCTCTCTTCGGCCGGCCTGACTCCGGGCTTCAGGCGTTTCAAGGCTCGGGTTTAGGGTCGGCAGCCCGTAGGCTAGGTTTATTCAAATCCAACACGAAGCACATTCTAGTCACTTGGTCACTGCTCCGTGGCTAGCTCTCACCGTGTTTTAGCGCGTATAACTCCTTCAAGTAGATGAGGCAAGCTCGGAAGGGAATTCAACGACTCCGTGCAGACTCCTCGATTGCCAATCACAAGGGTTCAATGTAGGATGGGGGCCGAGGCAGTACAAGCATCGTCAGGACAAAAGAGTCTGGATGGCCGTGACCATCACCATCATCACCGACAACATTAACATCGTCTTGATCATCATCGTCATACCTCTGACCATCAGAGTCACGGTCAGAATCATCGTCAACAACAGTACCACGCTAGTACCAGCACAGTTATCACAGTTGGTGGCAACCTTACCATCAGTATGAACGCGCCCTTTATTTCAGACTCACTCGACATGAAGGGCACAGGTAAGAACCTCCGATCAACTTGACTTAGGTACAAGCCATGGACACTTAAGCCTGGAGCCTTTTCGGAGGCTAGAATCTTAAGCCCTAAACCTTGAACACCTAAGGCCCCTAAGCCCCAAAACCTGATACCGGAAACCCCAAAACCTTACACCACTAAGTCGTAAACCTTTTCCGGAACTTTCAGTTCGGAGATCGCCTCGACTGGCACCAAGGTCGACCATTTTTGGCTCCAAGGACTCAGAATTTCAGCAGCAAGACTTTTTATTCTGCTTGTCTCTGGCTAAAACCCAAGACCCTAAACCCCAAAACCAAAGCCTTGGACTTTGCAACTTCTATGCTTCTCTGCCGGGCAAGCCCGGGTCCAGAGAGCCGCCCTACACTTTGAGGCCAGCTTGCAAACAGGGTAGTGCCATGACATTATCCTTGCTACTAGTACGGCTGCTCTGCCATATTACGTCATTGTTAGGCTTACTACTAGTCACTAGTCTGCACAGATGGGTGGCATGATGAGAACCATCGCAATTGGCATTATTCTTGCTGTCATCGATACGCTTCTTCTTCTTCTTACTACTACTACTACTACTACTACTACTCCTACTGCTACTGCTACTGCTACTGCTACTACTACTACTACCACCACTACTACTTCTACTTCTACTTCTACGCGATGACTGTCATTACGACTGCTAGCAAGTACTAGTGGTGTCATGGCTGCAACGGGATATGTATATACATATATATATATATATATTTATTTATTTATATATGTGCATATATGTATTGTTTTAATGTTACTAAGACTAAGCATGGGCTTTCTTTCTCCTTCAGAGCGAAAACTCCCCATGATGGTGCTGAGGTATCTTTATCTTCGTCATTGATAATGATGCTGATGACAGGCAGAACCAAAGCTGGGACGCCCAGCATGTGCTTGATGCCCGCAGCGGCCGCTTGCGCCTGATGGCCACACAAATATGAACGGCCCCATAAAAGCAAGCAACAGCTGAGCCCCGCACGCTCCGCCGACAGGCGAGACGAGAGGATGGCAGAAGTCAAGAGCCAGCGCACGACCGAGGGGATTTTGGGCGCAACGGCCCATGGACGACGCGAATTTCCTCGCTTTCGCAAAGCTACCAAGATGGTTGGGGCAGAAGCGGCTGCAGACACAACGCACTCTGCCATGCTCGGGGCTCAGGGGTCCGTCCAGTAATCATGAAGGCAATTGAAGTCCGCACAGTCCCTGTATGTTTTGTCCTTTGATCTCTGCGACGTCTGCTCCTCCTGTCCATCCTATCCATGTGGGTGGTTGTCAAAATCATGGTCCCTGTTTGGGTCCCTACTATAGTACGGCTCTTAATATTTAGGGTGCCCAAAAAAGGGCCATAATTTTGACAACCACCCATGTGGCTTGGTCCCACGGAAGGTCTCCAGGCCCGGCCTTGCACAGCAACTCGCCGAGTGACCAGCTGACTAGCTGCTGTTCCGAACGGTCTCAAAACTTGAGGCGCTTGTAGACCAACCGAAGCCCGCGTTGACCCCCCAGGAGATCATTCGCTGGAAGCCCTTTCGAAACAAGCTGGTGAGAGCTACAGTCAAAAATGGGGTCAATTGCCCCTGCTGCCACGATGGTTCGCAAGTTGTCCGCGGAGTCCATCATTCCAAAACAATCTGTACACATCTGTACACGTCAGCCCGGGCCCGCCAAAAAAGAACTTCTCCAAAAATCGGGAGAAAGCGCTGTGCGCCGGCGGATCGAGGCTGGGCCCAGTTCGGCTACGGGAACCAACAGGGCTTTCTTCTCGTGTTCGCAAGCACATGTTCGTGTTGAGAAACTGCTAACTGATTCCGTCTGGTTCCGCTGCTGTGTCTGGTCCTGTGTGGCTCCGTAAAAGGTCACAAGCGCGTAGCCGCGTCCCTCTAGCGCAAAACATGCCTCCGATACATGCCACATGATCACTTGAATGCCCTCTGTCCTGCAGTACGGATGTGAGCAGTCAGGACACGCGAGAGCGGCTGCATTGTGACTCGTCTTTCATGGCCAGCGTTGCCGTGCTGAACCCTGCTGAACCCTGGCCCAGCCAGCCAGCAGTCGGAAGCAGTATTGATAGAACACCGCACTTCGTTGAGTTCTGAGTACAAAGGTAGAAACCATAAGACTGGGCACAGGGGTGGATTCACGGCATTTTGCCATGACGGCGAATTCGCGTGCACGGCTCAAACCTTTTCCTGTCTTGCTCCTTGCTTCGAGTTCTCTGTCGCCATCTGTCGCCCCTTCAGCCCTCTGCGGTACTGCTCGTGAAGCTCCCCATCGCATCCATGAGAGGACGGGCTTTAAAGTTTAGGATGCTCCAACCCAACTTCCGCGACTAATTTCACGCTGCGGAAGCAGGGAAGTATGCAGTACCGACCTCGGCAAGGACCTTACGGCTTCACAAAAGCTTAGGGCACAAGACACCTTAATGAGTCCTGACCCGTTGACCATTTGGGGATCGCTTCGTCCTTAAGGACCCACAAAAGCCCCGGTAAAGCCTGCACCCCGAACCTCAAACCGAGATAGGCCAAGCGCGGTCTTCCAGAAATGCAACGAGCAATCCATCCCGTCACGAGCAAAACTCTGTCCGTGGCACAGGTGGGCTATCCCTGAGGAGGAAGGCTTCTCCGAAGATAATTTGTCCTTATGCGCGGGGTTTCCGAAAACGAAGGATCCCTGATATATATATATATATATATATATATATATATATATATGTGTATATATATACATATATATATATATACATATATATATGTGTATGTATATATATATATATATACATATGGCCCACAATGGCAGGACCCGCGCTCAAGACTCCTACGAAGGGATGTCACCCTTTGTACCTTCCCATGAGCCAGCCGCTGCAAGAAGTGTAAAACTCCAAGGCCAGGCTCGCAGCAAGCCACAACACAGCGGTACTGAAGCCCAGCTCTGCAAATCGAATCAGCATCTGGCTCAAGGGTTTGCAGCCCTCTATCCCGGACACTCCACCAGCCCTGACAAAACTTCCGCAAGCGGATATAAGAGCACCACTCATTAGCAAGACAAGTCCTGTCTTTTCCTAAAAGAGCACAATCGCAGTCTCTATGCACTGGTTCAGAAACCCGAAGTAGACCTACGCAAGGATGTGTTGTAAACAAGGAGTGACGCTTGACTTAAGCTAGTCTTAATCATTTCGCCCCTGCGTCACTGCCCAGAAGGCTCCGTGGGGGACTCTTCCTGCGCACTGCTGGAGGCCATCCTGGGATCGCTTGCTCAGGACTGATTAGGTTCCTGGGTAGCCCTTTTTAAATATAACAAGGGCACCCTTGTTCCTACTATTCGGTCTAAATAAGGGCCCTAAAGTAAAAAGGGCGAAAGGATACCACTCAGGAACCTAGCTAAGGGTTGAACTATGAGGGTAAGTCAGAAAGAGCTACCCTGATGAGGCTGCTTGTAAGGATGACTTACAGAAGGGTTACTAACAAGGTGTAGGTGTGACAGTTAAGGGGTTCCGGGTGCGGGGCTTCAGGTCTATCGGTTTTGCTTAGGGTTTAGGGTTTAGCCCGAAGAACCCCCAAAAAATGAAACCCTTGAAGGATCCCGTGAAGGAAGCCTTTTAAAGACAAAGCCTGGGCGCTCTTAAATTCCCCAAAACTCCCCAAACCCTGAAACCCCACATGCGCAACCCCCAGCATCCCTAAGCCCAAAGCCCCACTCTACCATGCTAGGACCTGCTTTATAGCAAATCTTCCTGAGAAAGCCTTAGGTTCCTGAGTGGCCCTATAATAACAAGGGTACCCTTTTTCCTACTGTTCGGTTCAAAAAGGGGATCACTAAAGCAAAAAGGGCAAAAGGGTACTACTCAGGAACCTGGAAACCCTGACATGGCTACCTGTGTCGGAAGACCGGGGGACACCTTAACTTCGGTGGGTTCGGCCCAACCCCACAGTTTTGCAATTCCACCAGGTGCTGGGGCAATGTATTATGTAGAAGCCTCAACAGTCACCAAAATTATTCCTTCGGGCTCGCTATTATAAACTTACTATCAGAGAGCCCAAAACCCGATTCTAATTATCAAGGCCCTATATTTGAGGCTCAGGGCCTAAAGGTGGTGAGACCGTGCCAATCTCAGTTGCGGTCTGGCACAGGTACTGGCAGGCTTTGCCAGACCAGTGCAGCTAGAGGAATCGTGATGAGGGCGAAGGTGAGCGAACCCAAATCATACGGAAGGTGCACGGTTAGGAAATAATCGAGAAAAACGAAGGCACCGAAGATGGAGACCCCTGGCAGCAAGAGAAACAGGGACTTGAAGTAATCCAGTAGTCGACAGGCACACTTCGCCTGCATAGCCCAAGCCAGGCGAAACATCACGCGGACGAGGATCGGAACCAGTCCCAGCCAGAAAGACAGGCCCGCGAACAGCCTCAAGATTCCCCATGGGAACGATCCATCTTCTGCAACATGCTTAACAAAATAGCACAGGTGATGTGCCACGATGTCAAGAAAAAACCAGAAGAAAACAGGAGAGGCCTCGGCTAAACGCCAGTATGAAACCATGTGGTTGGCAAGCTGATCCACCAACAAATCACATAAGTCGCTTTGAACATGCTGTTCAAAGGCCTCGATGCCACCAAACCAAATGTTGATGCATTTCTGCATCACCTCTCGGTCGCACATGATGGGCTCGTCACTGCCGGATAGCCGGTGATTTACGGCACAGCATAAGCTTTCGGCCGTTGCAACACGGAAGTGTCTGATGTGCTGGTACATGATGGTGATTTCACGGCAGTACTCACGGGCAATGTGCACAATGTACCAGAAAAATAAACCGCAGCAAGCAATCCCAATGAACAGCAACGCAAAATCGTTGAGCCCGCTCGAAGAATCCACTTCAATGCTGTGAGCCCAGTGGAAAGCGAAACCTCCAAGGGCCAGCGCAAACCAGGCAGCACCCATGATGAATCCCAGAATGGTTGGCCGGATGATGATCCGTGGCTTCTCGCCTGGGGTCCGGCTGCGGATGAAGGCAGCTAGCTCGTATACACACCACAGTCGACGAGCCCAAGACGGATCCCAAAGCACCAGCAGAGTGTCGGTGCGTTTAAGTATGGCCCCCAGGCTGAAGGTGCCCTCTGCTTGGAGTTTAGGGTCCACTTGAGAAATGCAGACACGATCGACAAACACCAACTCTCGAGGCCGCCAAAGTAGCATTGTTAGCGAATAGGCGATGCATCCAAAGCTCAGGCACCACCAGCTGTCGCCATCACGATCCGGAAGCACGCCCAATCCGAAAGCGAGGCAAGCAACGACCGCTGCTCCCGTGCCTGCCGTGGTTGCGGCCCTGGCATTGTGCAGGAAGAACAAAGTGGCCACCTTTCCTGAAACGGAACCGTGCCAGCTGTGGGACCAAAACGCATCCAAACGAGATGTGCTTTGACTCAGATGATAGAAATCGCCGCGATATCTCAGGGGCCTGGCCAGGCAGCGAAGTGCATTATGGACACGAGTGGCTCGGACGGCCTCTGTCCGTGTGGGCTCCATTTTCGAGATGATCTCGGCTATCGACTCTACTAAAGATTCTCCCTGACCCGGACTTTCCTCACCCTCCTCTGACAAAGAGCTGGACCCCTCTCCTTCCAATTCTGCTTGACCGAGACTTTCCTCACCTTCCCCTCCAAAAAAACTGGACCTTTCCAGTGGCACCCACTCTTGCAGATCGATGGCACTCTCACCATCGCGGGCTTCGGGATGTCCCAGTACGGTCGCTGCTGGCTCCATGGCGACGGTCAGGGAGGGACACTGGGATTCCTAGGCCATGGCTCCGAATGAGAATTTAGGGTTTAGGGTTTAAGGTTTAGGTTTAGGGTTTATTCCATGGTTGGTACATCCCTGTGCTGGACGGGAAGGATCGACAGAACGCCTTTCTGCCAGTCCTGGGTTTAAATCTTCAGCTGCGAGGGTTCAGTTCAGGTAATACCTGTAGTCTTCAAGGTTTAGGGTTTAGGGTTCTGGGGTTTAGGGTTTTGGGGTTTAGGGTTTAGTTAGGGTTTACGGTAACCAATTTTAGGGTCAGGAGCCTGGAATGCAGACTTTGTTGAACCAAAAAAAGGAACTACAATGGAGACTACAGGTAGGGTTTGGGTGTAGAGATTGCGCGTTTTCGGGGGTCGACCTTGAGCCAAAGGATTTGGGGAGGGGACGAGAGGGAGGATTGGAATACTCCTGTTTGAGGTATGGCTTGTAGCTAGCGTTCTGGCAAAATGGGACTTTGCTTAGGTTAAGGTCGAAAGGCTCGAGATTGGTGCGAGGGCTCATGAGTGTAGCAGCAGCAGACGCGAACAAGCGACAAGACCTGCAACAGCAGCAGTCAGCAACGTTCTGCAATTTCATGACCATCATCACCACCGTCATCGTCATCGTAATGGTCACCGTCATCGCCGCAAACCTCAACATCATAAGCGTCATCAACAACAGCGGCGACGACAACGTCATCGCATCCTCGTGCTGATCTTCGTTGTCGTCGCCGTCGTCACGTCTAAGTTCCAGCGGTTCTGGGGCCCCGGCATCTGCGACACCGAGACCTGCATCTCATTTAGCCAAGAACAACCCGAAGGGTCCGATTAAATACCTCCAAGAAATATTCCCTCATGGATGAGACAGTTCATAATAATACGAATTCAAGAAATCCATGTACCCATGTAGTATGTAATACTTTGGACCTAAAGTAAGACTATAAGAAGCCCTATGAGGCCGAAGGCAAAAGCGTCAGCTGTCATTTTGCAGCGCTTTGCTTTGGGATGAAGGGCGTTCAGAGGTTTATTTCAGTATAGTTATGTTTAGGTTTCAGTTTTAGGAAACCAGCGCAAAAATACTATGGACATGGTAATGCTGCAGAAAACTTGAGACCAAAGTGCGGGAATGGGCATCCCACGATTCCAAGACATGTTGAACTGCAACTTTGGGTTGGCTTTGGCTTTAGAGTTGGAAGTGCAACGTAGACCCTGATTCAAGTCCAGCCCTCATGAAAAGGAGCGGGATTCCCTAAACCCTAAACCGTAGGGGCCAGGAATACACTTTCAGAGCGTGGCGACTCATCGGCCCCTCGTTCACAGTAGGGCGTCGGTTTTTTTTTTAAGTTTCGGGATTAGGCTTTTTGGGTTGGGCGCTTAGGTTTGTAAAGTCTGAGGGGTAGGGAGAGTGGGGGCTAGGTACAGCTGTTGCTTACAGACTGAACCTATTGCTCCTGCCACTATGAAAATGAAGTCTGCAGGCACTCTCACCGGTCGCATGAATTACGCTAAGTAAGACCACAGGCGACTCTGATGCAGAAACCAAGATGGCAGGCAGGATGCTTAGACATGTAGTGAAGGACCCCTAAATCGGTACCCTACTTTCTGAACTTTGGAGTATCCAAGGAGAAAAAGTGCAGACTCTTACTTCATAATGGTTCCTTCAAGGAACAGGTACCAAAAGAAGTATTCAAGCATGGTACTCCAAAGCCCAGACTTTCTGAAGGTACCCCTACCTAGAAACTCGATCTACCCTCTATTATAGACCCTAAGTACCCACTATTTGGGGCCACATACCTCCATTTGAGGGTACAAGGACAGGAGGGTCCGGGTACTTTCTGAACTCCCATACGGGTGGTTGTCAAAATGAGGGTCCCTTTTTGGGTCCTTATTATAGTACGGCACCTATTATTTAGGATACCCAAAGAGGGACCATAAATTTGACAACCACCCATATCTTAACCTTCAGCCCATTATCCCTCTTAATATCCCCTATGGTAGTCCCCTATATAATCCCTATTATAACCCCCCATTACGGAGTTTGGACTATAGCCCATATCTCAACCTTCAGCCCCTGCCTGCCCTCAACCGTCTCGACCTCTGGAGCTCCAGCAACGCTGCTGGTTCAGGGTTTAGGGTTTGGGGTTTGGGGTTTAGGGTTTAGGGTTTAGGGTTTAAGGTTTGGGGTTTTGGGTTTAGGGTTTGGGGTTTAGGGCCTTAGGGTTCTTGGCCTCGACGCCAGGTTGCAGGACCGTGCGTGCAGGCCTTGCAGTCAAGCCATAAAGGATTGGTTTCTGCTTTTCGGTAGCTTCAGGAAATGGGCCATCCCTAAGGCTCCATGCACGCTTATCTACTATATTATAGTAGATACTTAGACTTAGGCCCTAAAAAGGGGTTCCTATAAGGGTACTTTAAGGCCTAAGTATCTACTATAAGTAAGGGTACATGGAGCCTTAGGGTATGAAGTGGCTTTCGGCTTCGCTCAGAGTCTTGGTTGAGACTTTAGGGCTTTTGTTTCGAAGTTTTCGTGTGTTGGCTGTGGGATTTTGGTTGATCGGGTAAGGCTTACGGAAAGGGAGGCCCCGGATCGACAAGCTAGTTCGAGAGGGGTTTACATCAGAGCTTGGGTGGTGAATCTGGAAGGCTTTTGCGAATGTTCCTTCGAAGTGCAGCGCCTGCGTCGCCATTCTGCCTACCCATCGATCTATCGGGCTCCTCATATTACGGATCCTGCCGCTTACAGTCGACATTTTCCTTACTTTTCCTTGTTATTACATTGGAGTCTGAACCCCCAATGCACAAGCCTTTCGACAATCCCCGGCGCCCAAGTGTACAAACGCTTCAGCAAACCCAAGCGCAGAAGCCCGATACCCCAGCCCTCAACCCCCTGAACCCGACAAAAAGCGGCTCTTAAACCTCACGGCTCCACTCTAAGGCTCAAACGGCAGGGCGGAGTCTGTCACAAGAGTGGCGACCTGCTCTCTTTCTGCGGGGTGGAGTCGAGTTGCCAGAGTGCTGCATCGTGTGGAGTTTCCAAGCTTTCTGGGACTTTCCTGGTTCGCTTTAGTATTGCTTCAGGTGCTTTCCAGGATGTTGCTTGCTCTCTCTGGGGTTGTGAGGCTTTCGGGGACTAAGTAGAGTGACAGTTTACAGGGGAACCAAATACCTAAACCCTTAAACCCTTAAGCCCTAAACCCTAAATACCCTACCTGTCAGGATCGTTGTCGGAAGAGGACCCCTAAATTCAATATCCCCCCGGCCTTGGTCGGAAAGCCGAATCGCCAACGAAAGACTTGGAATACAGACTGTATAGCGGTTTACGGTTTAGGGTTTAGGGTTAAAGTTATAGTATTGTGCAACATGCTGAGGATGTAAAGTTTGGGTAATCTGCTGTGTACTGCACCCTCTCCTTCTGTCCCCCTGACACACGCTTTAGATTTGAGGGTCTAGGAGTCTAGGGGCAGACAAAGTCGAAAGCTCGGGTAGTACCAGGGACCGGAAGGGCAGGACGAGCGAGCTTAGCACAAGAAGGCGCCTCACAGTTAGGCGGCTGCGGCCGGATACCACACTTAAGGATGCAGGATGTTAACGGTTGTTGGGTACTTTTACCGTCTACAGTCTACAGAGCATTAAAGATAGCCCAGAGCCCGCTGCTTATCTTTCGGCTTCATTTTGGGTTCCAGACTACATCTTTAACAAAGAGGTGGTGGGATCTCTGGCTTCGTGCTGGGTCTCCCTTAAGGGCTAAGGGTTTAGTGTTAAGGATTCAGGGTTACGGGTTTAGGGCTTAAGGGCCTAAACACCGCCCCCCTCTACACCTGAACCCCGAAAAAAACAGCAATCGCCATCTCCAGTGCTCTAAAATCCAAGACTTCTTGAACATAGACAGTATGGGGTTCTGCTGGGCGCTGCAGTCTTGACGAAGTTTCACTGAGCCGCCTCCTCTCCTCCGGGCGAGGTGGGCGACGGCACTTCGGTCGGAACTGGCATCTCCTCCGTGGCGGTTCTTTTTTGGGGGTTTCGGGTTTAGGGTTTAGGGTTTAGGGAGCCCTGAATCTAGAGAAGCTTAGACCCTCGAACTTCCTAGACCTTCCATCTACCCTCTGTTAGACCCGAAGCACCCACTATGTGGGGCCATACACCTCTATTTGAGGGAACAAGCAGGGTCCTGGTTTGGTCGTTACTTAAGATGCTAGGGATTTTTTTGTTACTGAAGGTGCTAGGGATTTTTTGGCTGTTACTTAAGGTGCGAGGGGTTCCCAGTAACCTAGGGATAAAACGGGCTCCTTTTTTTTTTGGTATTGAAGAGTGGTATAAGGCACCGAAGACCCCCCAAAAGGGAACTGGGTCCCTAGACCCTCTATTAGACCCTAAGTACCCACTATTTGGGGCCATATACCCCTATTTGAGGGTACAAAGAGGGCCCTGGTAGGGTGCGTCTCGTAATGAAATCGGGTCCCTTTCTGCAGGGTTCCGGGTCTTGGGGCTGTGGGATTTCGGCTTGAGGGTCGAGGCTTCCGTTTAGGGTTTAGGTTTTAGGGATAGGGTTTAGAGTATAGGTTTTAGGGTTAGGGTTTAGGGTTTAAGGTTTAGGTTTTATGGCTGTGGTTTAGGGTTTAGGGGTTTAGGGTTTAGGGTTTCGGGCTTGAGGGTTCTTACGGCTTTAGGCCTTGACACACAACTTCCCAGAGGCTCCACACGAACTTTCTGGGCTTCGGACTTCCGATCCCTAGAGGGTAGATGGAGGGTCTAATGTAGGGGCCTTAATAATTAGAATAGGGTTTTGGGGCCCATTATACTATAACTATAAGAAGGAACCCCAACCATAATATTGGGAATTATGTAGGCTTCTACATTAGGTAAAGCTTTAGAGAGCTTGTGGAGTTCAGGAAGTTTAGGATAGAATAGAGGCTCGGGTTGATCAGTGCTGTAAGCTTTGGGGTCGTGCGCTTCTTGCGCAGCGTTCTCAACACAACACCTTTCAAGGCCTAAACTCCAGCGGCGGACTGTAAAACCTAATATAGCGGCCTTCATAATTAGAATAAGGATTTGGGGCCCTTTATAGTAGAACTATAATAAGGAACCCTAACCATAAGATTGGTAATCGTTGAGGCTTCTACAGTAAAGCCGAAATCACTCAAACTTCGTGAAATTCTCGACCTTCCGAAGCACCACACCTGTCGGGATCCCAGTCTCCTAGGGTTCAGGTCTTGAGAGATGCGAAGTTGTTCAAAGAGGGTTTTGGGGGGTGCCTTACTATAGATATAGTATCAAGTACCCCCAAAAACCCATGCTAACTCTTAACACGGCTAGGATTTAGAGTGCTTCACTGAGGTTTAGGGCTTGGGTGCAGAGACGTCGCTGCTTTGCCTCTGAAAGGTTCTGCTCTGTAACCCCGACTAGCGCGCACATGGGTCATGGATACTGTAAAGCCCGGATATGACCGGAATCCAAGACGAGAGGAAGTCAACGCATGCTTTCGCACCATGTGTGCTGGTCGCACCATGTGTGCTGTTAGCACCAGCGATATCGGGCAAAGCCCACTCATTACCATCATGCCAACCAATAGATGCAGTCAACAACGCTGGTCCGGCGGACGTTGCAAATCCAATGATGCACGCATCCTGCTGGCCGGGTGGTAACGGTAGCAAGTATTCGCTTCGAAAACATCTGAGCAAGGCGGGCCCAAGCATGCTGGATGACAACCCCTGTCACGAGGATTGGAGGGGCTCCCTGCGATCTAAAAGACCCAACGACCAAGCCTCGTTCCCACACACTACAAAGCACAACCCACTCACCACATGCCAGACTCCAAGTCCAGATTAAACCAAGGTTTTGTGCTCCTAAAAACTGAGTCAGCGAACCCCCAACAAGGACTAGAAGAAGCCTCTGATGTTTCAGGTCCTGCCTCGAGACCTCAAAAACCTTCCAAGCCAAGGCCCCGAACAGCCTGCCGGGTTTGGGTTTTAGGGTTTCGGGGTTTAGGGTTTTCTTAGTTTGTTGGGGGGTTTGGATTTCGAGTGCTGCTTTAGGCTCAAACAGCTTACGCCCCAAGCGTCGCCTGGAGCTTCGACTGCTGCCCCAAAAGCCCAAAGCCAAAAAAGCGCATAAGCTCCAAACTCCTCGACCTGTTCCACCTTGATATAAGAGGTTGAACAACGAGCAATATAGTTGGTAGTATCCTCTCTACAAGTGTACTGTTCACACTCCCCCCCGGCAGAAAACACACAAAAAACCTGCATAGCCATAACGAAGAGCTTTGAACACCACTCGAATTATCAAGAACGTTGCATTGAACAGAGGCTCCGTGGGGGAGTCTCGCATGGCGCTGCTGCTTACCATCCTCGGTACTGGACACTTCTCAAAGGTCTCCAAAGGTGGGATGAACATAGGTGGGGTAATGCGAAACAGAGTTAAGAATCTTAATATGACTGATCCTTGCAAATTCGAATAGGGCTCTGGGGCCCACGATACTATGATAGTTCTAGTAAGGAACCTTAACTGTAACCATAATATGGGTCATTATTCAGGCTTCTACACTAGAGGCCTCGTTCTAAACAAACTCAGACAAGACATGTCTCTTAGAGCATCGACTCGCTGCCACGATCCTGTAAGCAAGCCGTAAAGCCCAAGTGCCTGAGCAAAAACACAGTCAAGGGCCTGAGCTGCAAACCAAAAATACTTAGTCCTGAAATCTAGCCCTGAGAACGTGCATAGGACCCTCCTAGGGCCCTTAGAATTTCCTTTGGTCCTTCTCGAGCCCCACAAGCGCCCAGACGAAACAATCAACACGAAGCTTCCAGCACCCTCCTTGTACCCTCAAACTGGGGTATATGGTCCCAAATAATGGATACTTAGGGTTTAATAAAGGGTAGATGGAGGGTCTAGGTTTGAACCTGAAATGGATCCTGAGCTACCAACGCCGAGGCGGAAGCCTGAGAAGCGATCTCGGGAAGGAAGCCTAAATAATTACCAATATTATGGTTAGGGTTCCTTATTATAACTATAGTATATTGGGCCCCAGAACCCTAAAGGTTCAGGGTGTGCTCTCCAGGAGCTTCAGGCGTGATGTTGCTGTTTGGAGGCCAGAGGGAGGGGGGGGGAAGACTAGAGCCTTGAGTTGAGGGCTTTGGGTGTTTAGAGTTTTAGGATACGGATTAAATGATCTTTGTTTTTTTAGGATGCGGCACGTTGTTAGGCTCCCAGTTTTGCGATGCTTCAGGAAGGTTATCTGGGGTTTGGTCAAGGTTTAGTCGCTCAAGGTTTCGGCTGAGTGATTGGTTTTGCCTCTTGGTGGCCTTGGAGACCAACAACGAACAAACATATAAACATGAGGTCAACAAACCGAGAAATTCAAGATACAAAGCAACCTCAACGACGAATGTGACAAAAACTGGACTGAGGGCTTCGCAAACCTTTACTTGGTAGGAGCACCCTAAACCTGAATGTCATGTCACAAGCCTCACCGCAGGGCTTAAGCTGTCAAGCTAGGGCTATCTTTAGAGTTTCGAGATACGACTTACTTGTGGTCATCTGTTCTAAGATGAAACATGTCAGTCATCTCACAAAATCACTCACTATGTGAGGAGTACAGGGTGATACGGTTAGTGATTCCTCAGACCTCCAGATGCTACGAGTTGAACCTGAAGTGAAACCTAAAACCTCTGAAGGCCGCAAAACCTGTCCTTTCAGTCCCCAAAGAACCCGACTCCCGACCCAAATGTCCCTTGAACTTGTTTCGGTTCGTGACGACGTTGACAATCTTTCCATTCCTTGTTGCTACAGAGCTCTTCGGGCCCAAATAAACTTAGACTGTTTAAACTTTTCCGTCAAACCTATAATGGCAATGACGAGCGGCTCCTAAGAAACACCCAGGCACCCCAACTATTCAGAACCGCACACGCTGAACTCTTTCACAGACAAACCCCCAAAGGCCTCCACCCATCAACCCCACACCCTAAACTTGCCCCAACCCACTGCAGCTCAGAATCAGCAACCCCAAACCCCGCATCCTTCAATCCCTGCAAACCTTAAATAAAACGGACTGCACGTGAGAAAACAACCCCAACAAAGGCAGTGTAAGCCATTCTTAACTCCAAGACCAGGCACTTCGGGACGGGAGCTCTTCTGCGGGAGTCTGGTAGGCACCTGCACTCCAACACAAAAGTTTAGAATGCACGAGAACAAGCACGGCTTGTGTGATCCCCTGCGGGCACTGCGAGTGCCGAACGCACCATGCCACATTATGCCATGGACAGTCAGCCTGGCAAAACTTCCACGAGACCAAAGTAAACAACAGCACACTCCTGTCAAGACAAGCCCTAGCTTGTGGCAACTCCGCACTAGCATCCGTCGTCTGGAGACCAATGCAGGCGATTTTTCCGAAGGATGCGTGCGCGTGTGCGATGCAGTCGAAGTACATCGACTACAGCTCTCTTGAAGTTTAAGAGGGCAGTGAGCAATGCGATGGAGACAAGATTTGCCTCTCACGTCTCATCAAGTTAACGCTGTCAATGGAGGACCTGGGCAAAGCTGTGGACACCCTAACTGTTCTTCCTGATGCTGCTGTTAGGCTTGCATAAGCGTCAAAAGCGCAAAAAAATTCCGCTACCGATCCGGAGGCAAAGTTGTGAAGAGGACGAGAGTTGTAAATCGACCGTGCAGAGAGCTCAGCTTGTCCACCAGCTTCTCTTGAAAGAAGCTGCCCCGGTAGGTCGTTTCGTCCATTACGTCAAAGATGATGCGAAGCCTTGACTGCTCAATATCTCCTCGCAAACCTGCCAAGGCATTCACGAATTGTACAAAGTCAATGTAGTTCCTTGGTGTCCAGGGAACACCTTCAGCAATGAACCTGAGCTTTGCAACTTTGACGCAGACAGACATGATCGCCAGGCTGAACAATGCGGTTGCAGTCACTGCAAGAATTGCATAATACGCAACCACCGCCCCGAGGGCTGCTGGCGTGCCCTTTGCTCTCAGCGGTTGCACAATGCGATCACGGGAGTAGTTCTTCAGGTGACTCAAAAGCACGGCTGGGTTCCCAAGTGGCAGCATTTGCAGCGCTGAGAATCTGCCTGCGTGGATGGCAAACTCGCACACGTTCAGGCACGATGAAGTATCTCCGCGACAGAGGAAGTGTAGGAACAAAGCAAGCATGACAGAAAGAAGCGCCCCAGCACAAATCCCCTCCCCAAAAGTCACGAGCTGAGTTTCAAGGTCCCAGGGAGTCTTCTTCTCTAGCGGCCTCAGTGTCCACACAGTGTAGAAGAGCAAGCCCGAGTTGGCCACTGCACGACCCATAATCCATGTGAAGCGGAGAAATTGATACCACGTGGGGCTGCCTTCGCAAATTCGTTTCACGTCAGCAACGTTGATGTCCGTTGACAAACAGCAGCGTACCTCGACCTGTCTCTCTTGCTCGTCAGACATGTTCCGACCATCACGGAACACAGCGATCGGAAACAGGCAGTAAAAGCAAGTTGAAAAGAATGCCAGAAGCAACAAAGCCAGCACGAGGGCTCGCAAGAGCAGCACGTCTCGGTCGGAAGGTTCCCAGCCCTCCGCTATGCAAAGTAGCCCATGTAGCCCTTCAAGCATGTATGACTTCAAGTCGAAGTGCAACTTCAAGTCGGAGTGCGACTTCAAGTCGAAGTCAGCCTTGAGGTTTTGTCGCATGTCTCCAGCCAGGAGGAGTAAAACCTTAGGCAGGAATCTCAAGAAAAGACTGGCCTAGGATTTCTGGGATCAAAACGAGTCTTTACGATGCTGTGTCAAGATGAGATATCTCTCAAGTGCAGGCTCATCAGCTTGAGCGGGAGACGCAGATGAGATGGTCTCACTGTGGCAGACTACGGTAGTGTTTCCTCAACCGACATGGCTGCGGCTTGACCACACAGAAATCGACCTAGTGTCCGACAGTGATATCAATGGCTGGGGCTTCTGCTCAATCTACCACTCCTTGCAGGTGCGAGTCCCTATGCACCGAGCCTCCTCTTCGCGGGTAGCCGTAAGTGTAGCAGTTGCTTCCCGTTGAGCCGTGACGGTTGGCAAAGCCTTGCAGCTTTCGGTATGTTTCGCAGGTCTTAAACTCGGCATTTAGGGCCTTAGGGGTGTGGGAGTTTCCGTCTCGCGCTAATAAGGGTTTCAGTATGGGCAGAGCCTGGTGATAGCTCAAACCTGAAGCCTAACGGTTTCGAGGTTTGGGGCTGTTAGGGTTCGAGTTTGGACTGATACTCTACACCCTAAACTCTGAAGTTCAGAGACCTACATTGGAGAACCCGATGAAGCCTCGGGGGTTGGGCTCAGTCGAAACAGAAGAGACTGTGATGTAGCGGCCTTAAGAATTTGAGTAGGGTTTTCAGTTTATAATAAGGAGCCCCCAAAACGCTATTCTAAGTATGAATAATAGTATCATAATGAACCCCCAAAACCCTATTCTAATCATTAAGGCCTCTATATCCGCACCTCCTGCTGGGTTTGAGGTCACCCCATCCCAGAAGCCGATCATTTTTGACCTCCCGAGTCCCTTGCTCCTCCAAGCATGCCCCTGCTGTCTCTGTACAGTGGCATACTATAATGTAGGGGCCTGAATTAGAATAGGTTTTGGGGCCCCTTATACTATAGTTATAATAAGGAACCCTAACCATCATGTTGGTAATTATTTAGGCTTCCAGAGTAGGGTTAAGGGCTTCTGGGGTTTGGGGTTTAGGGTTCTGTGGTTGGGGTTTAGGGTTTAGGGTAGCCAGGGCCCAAACAAATCCAAGCACGAACGACCTAAAAGGCGCAAGGCAGTGTGCAAACACGAAAGGATCCTGTACTGTAGAAGCCTAAATAATTACCTATATTATGGTTGGGGTTCCTTATTATAATTATAGTACAGTGGGCCCCAAAACCCTATTCTAATTATTAAGGCCCCTACATTACCCTAGGGCTCCAAGTGTACAAATAGTACCTACCTAGACCCTCCTTCTACCCTCTATTAGACCCCAAGTACCCATTATTTGGGACCATATACCGGTACAAGGAAGGTCCTGGTACTTTGGGGTCTAAAGTCTATAAATACTACCATAACCTACTTTTTTTGTAGGCTCTTATTACAAACCCTAATTTGAATTTATAGGGACCCTACAAAAAATAGGTTTTGGTAGGTTAAGGTAAAACTACTACCTACTTTGGGCTATTTGGAACCGCAGGGGTAGCTTGGCTGCGAAGCTCCCCAAGGCAAGAAAGCCTTGTAGCGTTTAGGGTTTACGTTTAGCGGTCTAGGGGTCTAGGGGTGGGTCTAGGGGTCTAGGGCTAGGGTTTAGGGTTTAGGTGTAGGGTTTAAGGACTCACGCGCACACACACACACACACATACACACACACACACACAAACAAAAAAGATGAACGACTCTCATAGTGGAGCATCTGTGTTCCCTTGCTATAGCTCCTGGTGAATAAAACCCCCGATCCTTGTAGGATTACCCTGGGAGCCGCGAACAAAATCCCAATCTCTGAATAATGAGTCTCAATGTTTAGGGTTTGGGGTGTGGGGTTGTTGAGCCATGTAGACCCAAAAATCCAAAGCTTTACACCCAAAGCTCCGAATCGAGAACCCTCAAAACCCGAAATCCCTGCAGCATCCCTTGTAGAAGTCCATACAGGAACCCTGAGAGGAGGCTCCTGTAGAACCCTTGGACGCATTAGGGGAACCCCTGTAGGAACCGCATCAAGCAGGCCAAGTTGCTGCAGGGCTGGTCGGTGACGGCTTGTCTGTTGGAACCGGCAATTCACCTGAGTAGTATGGGTGGTCATCAAAATCATGACCCCGTTTTGGGCACCCTAAGTTTTTGGTGCCGATCATAATAGGGACCGGAAAAGGGACCCTGATTTTGAGAACCATCCATTAGGGGCCTTATAATTACAACTTTGGGTTCCTGTAAACTGGCTCCTTTCACAAGCTTCCGTTCAGGGTTCACTATGTATGTAGGGTGTTCTGGGCTTTGGGGCCGTAGATGGCCAAAGTCTTTACAACAGGGGCTGGGGTAGATCATGACAGTTGCACAGGCACCGTGAGGGGATAAGATTGCAAAATTTCTCCCATAAACCCTAAACCCCGAACCCTATACTGCTGTTGATGGACAAAATCCTGCATTGCCCATTATAAGGAAGATACCATAATTCCCATAGTTTAGTGTAGAAGCCTAAATAATTACCAATATTATGGTTAGGGTTCCTTTTTATAACTATACTATAATGGGACCCACAAGCCTACTCCAATTATGAAAGCCCCTGCAGTAGGGTCCTTAAGGTCATGCAGGATTTTGTCCATCAACTGTCGGGGAGGATCGCAGGGTCCCAATCTGGTTGGAAGAGTGCCGGGGCGGTGTTCAGCACCACAGATAGCCAGGACCCTCCTGGTGCCCTGAAAAAAGGGTGTATATGGCCCCAAATAATGGGTACTCAGGGTCTAATAGAGGGTAGATGGAGGGTCTAGGAGGTTCGAGGGTCTAAGCTTCTCTAGATTCAGGGCTCGGGTATACCTGTTTACACTGTTTGGCCTGTATCTTGGGTTTTCTAAGTGGTTTTTGCTAGGAGTTCTGATAAGCTTCAAACGGCGCCCGGAGCCTACATTTACATACGGTTCAGCCTGTGGCATTGCTACCTTTATCCAAAGGTTAGCAAAGTATGCAGTATAGCTTATAGAGATGCCTCGGCTAGCGTAAAACGAAACCAAAGGGCCCGGAACATAAGGACACCTGGACAACTTCAATTGCAAGGGTTGGACGAGTGGTATGAATGCCTAAACACATGACCAGAAGGGGGGACCATCAGTTTATGCTATTAGTATACTACTACGTAATATACTAGTAGAAAGCTAAGAATATGCTATTACTATACTTTCAATATACGATATACTAGTTATACAGTGTACGATTAGTACACTATTAATATACGTCTAGTATACGAGTAACATATAACAATACACCACGCATGGCAAGGTAAAACACAAATCTAGGTTCCTGAGTAGACCCATCATAATAAGGGTACTCTTTTTAATACTATTTGGTTCTTACTAAGGGACTAAAAAGGGCAAAAGGGCACTACTCAGGAACCTAGAATTTATTCTGAAGCTGGCAGGTTGCTTGGAGACGGGCCCTGCACAGGTCGATCTTCAAGCCCGAAACTGGCGGTTCTTGTGGCGTTTTGGAACGGTTCTGGTTTAGGGTTTATGGTATAGGATTTAGGGTTTAGGGCATAGGATTTAGGGTTTGGGGTAAATGGTTTGGGGTTCAGGGTTTAGGGCATATGGAGGGTTACATAAGGGTCCCTTTACAGGTTTCCAGGGGTTGCAAAAGAACATGATAGAACATGACTTGCGCTACTTCTGATGCTATCTTGCCATCCCATGCTGTTTGCCGGGAGCAACAGCACGAGCAATGACCGAACCCTTCACCGGACGTTGGGCTGCTGTCTATGTGCACAGTGTCTCGCCAAACATACAAAACATGCCAATAGATCCCACCCATGTACTATTACATACATACATACATACATACATACATACATGTATATATATATATATGTATGCACGTATATATATATATATATATACATGTATATAAATATATATATATATATATATGCTCACCCCCCCGTGTGCGGCTTAAACCGGGTTTATTTGGAAGCTGACACTCGGGTTTTTTGCTACCTAATTAAAAATAAAGAGAGACAGCTTCCAAATAAACCCTATGTGGGTTTCTGGGTGGGAAATTTAAATAATTTAAATAATTTAAATATTGGGGAGGACCCTGGGGAGGGGGCCGGGCCGGGAATTTAAACAATTTATATAATTTAAATATTGGGGGCCCGGAAATATTTAAATTATTTAAATTATTTAAATTCCCGGCCCGGCCCCCTCCCCGGGGTCCTCCCCAGTATTTAAATTATATAAAATATTTAAATTCAGGCCGAATTTATATAATTTAAATAATTTAAATATTGGGGGCCCCAAAATATTTAAATTATTTAAATTATTTAAATTCGGCCTGAATTAAAATAATTTAAATAATTTAAATAATTCAAATAATTCAAATAATTTAAATATTGGGGAGGACCCTGGGGAGGGGGTCGGGCCGGCAATTCAAATAATTTAAATAATTTAAATATTGGGGGCCCAGAAATATTTAAATTACTTAAATTATTTAAATTCCCGGCCCGGCCCCCTCCCCGGGGTCCTCCCCAATATTTAAATTATTTAAATTATTTAAATTCAGGCCGAATTTATATAATTTAAATAATGTAAATATTGGGGGCCCCAAATATTTAAATTATGTAAATTATTTAAATTCGGCCTGAATTTAAATAATTTAAATAATTTAAATAATTCAAATAATTTAAATAATTTAAATATTGGGGAGGACCCTGGGGAGGGGGCCGGGCCGGGAATTTAAATAATTTAAATAATTTAAATATTGGGGGCCCGGAAATATTTAAGTTATTTAAATTATTTAAATTCCCGGCCCGGCCCCCTCCCCGGGGTCCTTCCCAATATTTAAATTATTTAAATTATTTAAATTAATTAAATTATTAAAATTCAGGCCGAATTTATATAATTTAAATAATTTAAATATTGGGATCCCCAGAATATTTAAATTATCTAAATTATATAAATTCGGCCTGAATTTAAATAAT